CCACCAAAAGGTTCAGTTCCGATTTTGTTCCACATCTTAAAAAAATCACCGATCCCATTATCAAAAAACCATTAGTTCATGATTTAGCCCGATTCCCTTGGAACTAAAACCAAATGAAACTATATCCCCTAGCCACGTGTACCTAGGAACAAGTGATGAAACTTTGGTGAATGGAGCTTGCATGGTGGATTCATCTTATCGTGGCGTTGCAGTGACATAAAATTAAGGGTTGGGACGAACAAAGTCCGGATGACATAAATGAGGTATAGAAAATGAGACGGAAAGAGTATAAGATATAAGAATGGATTGTGAGGGGTCAACGGCACGATGCAAACTTTCCATCGCAATTGAGAATGGTCGATGAATATTGAAATTTGGCCTCAACTATAGACAACTGTAATTTATCACAAATCAAGTTTTGGTCAGTAATAAACCATGAAAATTAGCATGAGTGCTTCCTTCTATAAAAATACCCAAAAAAAAAAAAAGGATCACCATCCAATAATGTTAGGTATAATAAGTTTTATCTTATAAAAATAAATGAATTAATAATATATATATATATAGTGTATGAATAATATGTTAACATAATAAATCTATATGTTAAAATCCTTTTAACGACCAAAGTAATTGTTCCCGAGAATATCATAATGTCGTTTCACCAATCATTCAATTATGGCAACTAAACTCCCACCCAATAACACGAAAGAAGGATATGTTTATCTCACCAAATATAATAGCAGCGACCAATCCGTAGAAAGTACAAGACAGCGAGCACTGCGGAGTGGTCGCTGAATCTAGATGCTGGAGATCATTTTTTTTTTTTTTTTTGGATCGTTAAAGTACAAGACAGCAACCACTGCGGAGTGGCCGCTGAATCTCTGGACGCTGGAGATCTTTTTTTTTGTAGTGAGAATGGATCACACAGCTCAGATGAGCTGGCGAGATGGAATGCATGGTGTTCATAACTGAAGCGACAATCTCCCTAAAATAGAGCTAATATATACACATTATTCTTAAGATGAAAATCAAATTTTATCCATACAGAAAGTTACACATTAACACACATTAACATCATAAATTTACGAAGACGGAGATTATTTATTTCTTGGGAAAACTTGCAAACCAAGTCGACTTCAGTTTCAGAACAACTCTTGCAGAGACTAGTTGATTTAAATGCCCTCACCAGCCCCTCGATTAGGCTCCTCTACTTCCTTGGCTTCGTCAGTGTTGCCTCTGGGTCGGGTCGGGCTATGGCCAACGAGAAGATCCTTTGTTGTTTGGCCGATTTCGACTATAGTTTCGGCAATGTCCTGCAGGTAACTACCTGCTTTTTGTTGCGTATGTTCTCTTCCTCTTCCTGCTTCACCCTCGGGCTGGAAGTACCCCTGGCGTTTTTCAGGAGGTTGAGATTCTGTTTGGTTTTGCCCCTGGAAGTACTCCTGATTTTTCTCGGAGGGTCGAGATTCTCCTTGCTTTTGCTCACCTTCTCGGTCGTGCTTCTCCATGCTCCCCCTTTCACCCTGCGTCGAAAGAAAAATTGATTCAACATATTATATTAAACAATACTGTACAGTCTGGATGAGGTTCCGAGATGGACATTGCTATTCTATGTGTCCAATCCTCCTACTTGATGGTAGACAGCTTGATATTATTTCTCGACATTTTTTTAGATCTGTATGATAAATCCGGTTAATATTTTAGTCTACTTCCCTTTGAAGTTCTCTAATCTTGAATGTAAATCCAAATTTTTTTCCTAACCAAGATCCCAAAAGATAAATAAATCTATTCTAAGCAAAAGCACAAACAGCGCAGGTGAGGAGCTTTATCATCCCTATAATAATCACTTCAGGAAATCTTGGTTGGTACCTCAAAATAATCAGATAAGGTGCATGTGTGAAAATTCATCCTCGCAACGTATATAGTTTACCTCTTATCCTGTGAGCATTATAAACCAATGAAAAGAATCAATGCACCCAACAAACGCTAGAATACTCGGAAGAGAACAGATAAACTAGTTAATTATACCTCCTCTTGCTGTGATTCCTTTGCCGCCTGCTGGGCCTCCGCCTTCTTCCGAGCTGCATACTCGGCCGCTTTCTCTTCAGTTGACACCACCACATCCTTAGCAGCAGCCAGTTTCTCACTTGCATAGCCAACCGCAGTATGTGTAGCACCTGCAACCTTCTCGCCTGTGTATCCTGCAACACTGGAAGTAACACCAGCCACTTTTTTAGTGGACTCCGCCGCCACTCCCGCTGTAAGCTGTGCAGCGCCCCAGCCAGCCACCACCGCCTTTTCCTTCACTGCCCCAGCTATCTTCCCTACATACCCTGCAGTACCTTTGCCGGTTTCCACAGTGACATCTTTTGCGGCAGCTGCTTTATCGACTGTAGCATCCTTGGCTTCCTTGGCTTTTTCCGCTACATATTGAGCAGTAGTTTGGCC